ATCCTCTATTATTTTGTATGGTTTTACAATCTTGAATGGAAACTTGTTCTAAATGGACGTATCCCTGTTTTTGGTTGAACCACATATATCTCCTGTGTGCTTTGTTTCCCAAGTGATTTATTGTTTTGAATGGTTGGTTTATTTACGGTGGTTAATTGTTTAATTTCCTAGCAATTGGTATAGAGCCATAGGCGTACACACAAGCTGTTTGATAAAAAAATCTTGATATAATTTTTTTGTTGTGTTTATGTTGTTTGTTTTGGCCAATCGTGATAATCAAGTGGAAAAGGAAACATTGAAGATGAAGGATCTACTCTCTTGTCTAATGATAAGAGGAGGGACCGTGGATTTGATAATAATAGGTTTAGATCAACGGGTGGAAAGGGCAAGCAGTGCCATATATGCCGTGAATAAGGCCACATCAGAAAGGACTGTCCACTTGAGGAAGATGGTGGTAAGAATGATGCATCTATCGCATGTACTTCAGACGAAGACTTTGGAGGTGCTCTCATAATTTCCAAAAGTTACACTTTTATTCGACTTGACTCGATATTAGATTCAGATTCTACAAACCATATATGTTTCATGAAAGAATATTTTGATTCTTTTTACAGACTTGAAAATAGTTCTTTGACTATGCCCAATGGTTATAAGTGTACTATGTATGGTATGGGAACGATAAAAATCAAGATGTTTGACAAAGTGGAACACATTTTGGGGGACGTTGCCTATGTACGAGAGCTACGGTGCAATTTGATATCTTTGAGCCGGTTGGATTCCACAGACTGTAAGTGCTTCATTGCAGGGGGTCATGAAAATTACGAAGGGCTGTATGGTGTTGATACAAGAAGAAGAAAATAGTAAATTATATCATTTGTTGAGGGGAACCAATGGTACTCGGACTGCGATTACTGATTAGAAATGGGCACGTGAAAGTAAGATCTTACGACAGGTCTTATTGGTAAATGTAATAGAGCCGAAGGTGACATGTTTTTAGACAAATGATATGAGTTAGAAATTTCTGCTTGTGAAAGGGTCTCATCGAGGTCCCCTTTCAGAGTCATTTGGTTGCGTTGACTTAGTTTAGCTACACGTATGCATTGGCCATGGAATTAAGGCGGAGTTTGAACTAGGTTCGGGTTATGTATAGCTGGTATACAAAAGTCCAATGGATTGCTTTTGGAATTGCAAGTAGGAGTCTCCTGCATTGAGACTTGTGAATTCTACCCAAGGGGAGCCAAGGACTTTGAAGAAGCCTGGGCTCTGCGGGTGTGCTCGATGATTTCTTTTCCTCGTGGATGGAATGGGAGATTGTTGGGGTCCACCCATGTTATACACGTTATAACAGACGTAACCCAAGGTGGTGCAAAACTCTTATATTTGGGGATTGTTAGAGATTATTACTTTCAATGTATTTTGAAAGGGTTATAACTCTTGTTTGAGAGGATTACTTTTATTGTATTTAAAAGGTCACTACATGTGGAGAACTTAGATATTTTAGATTTTTCTGAGTGATTGGGTACAAAAGGACAATGAATTTTTAGAAACATAAACTTTCATTGCTTTTCCTTTATTCCTATCATTTTGATCTTTCTTAGAACTAGGATAAATATTTGCTGTGATACCTTTACCACCACAATTCCAGCAAGTGATTTCAGTTTCTTTTGACTCTTCTACTTTCTTTTAATTTATTCTCAATTTTGACCCCTTGTCAAAATTTCTAGGATTGGCCATATCCTTATCCTTTGTTGTATTTGCGAAAAACTGATTAAATTGCCTTGTGATAAAAACAACATCTTCATCAGAATTTTCATCGACAGAATTATCAACCTGAGTTGATTTTAAAGCAAGATTCTTTTCTTTCTAATTTAGATCAAAATTCTGCATCTCAAATTTTTTTAATGAACCTACAACTTCATCTACTTTAGAACTAGACATATCCCAATGTTCAGTGATAGTTTCTACTCTTATCTGAAATCTTTTAGGTAAAGACCTTAAGATTTTTTTACAAATTTTCTTATCAATAACTTTTTTGCCTAAGTGATGCAGTTTAGAGATAATTTCAAGAAGACTAGAATAAAAATCAAAAAATGATTCATCTTCCTTTATTATAATGTTCCCAAACTTTTGAGAAAGCATTTGAATTTTCGATAGCTTCATTTTTGAAGTCCCTTCATGAGTAACCTGCAAAATATCCAATCATCTTTAGAAGTTTTACAATATGAAATTTTAGCATATTCAAATGGAACAACAGAATTTATAATTGCTTATAAGGCTTTTTCATTAGCATCATTACGCTCAGTTTCAATTGCAGTAAAGTTAATAACATATTTCAAAACTTGAGTCACTTTACTAATTATAGTTTTATCTTCTGTAGGTGGTGTATAACCTGTTTCAACTACAGCCAAAACTTTACCTCCTGAATTTTGCAAATAGGCTCTCATTTTAGATTTTCAAAAATTATAATTGTTTCCTTCATATAAAGGACCACGTTGATTGGATCCACCCTCTTTCAATGCATAAGACATGATGAAACAACTTTTTGAAAAATAATCAAAACTTTTCAATAGGATCAACTCAATGTGTAGAGATTTCCTTTGATACGAAATGTGAGTTGTGCAGCGGAAGATTACTTGTGTAGAAAGTTTTAGATTATAAAAACAGATCTATGTTTTTCTATTTTTAGTTAACTTTACTTAATTTTAGCAATTAATCACATACATAATAATAGTAAAGTAAAGTAAATAGAGTTGAGAGATGACTCCAGGATTTTTAGCGAGGAAACCCCAATTGGTAGAATAGACCAACTGTTACAGGAAAAACCTTGTGGACTGTGCAGTCCAAAGTATACCGATCCACTATGTTTGAAACAAAGTACAATGGACTTTGACTTAGGCTCACACCCTATCTTTCTACGAAACACCAATCGCTGACAATGTTCTGGCTTTGTGACGTCTCGTCCGACAGCTCTTGACCTCAGGCTTACCCTTGATCTTTGTAGAAGGATTACTGGTAGATCAAACAATACTCCTCGAATGCTTTAATCTTTTCAAAGGGTGATCGCTTTACTTTTGTATTTTAAGATCTGAATTTGATGTAGAAGAAGTAGATCTGCTTTCTCTGATTGTTGTAGATGCAATATTTAATAAACTTTGAACACGATCAGGATTTGAACAACACTCTACAATTACTCTTATGTTTATATGTATGTTCTAGAAAGAAAGACAGAAAAATCAGATTTAATTTTTTGCAAAATATCTCTCAAATAGGCTTTTAAGAATTATGAAAATGTAGTGGAAAAGCTTAATCAACCTAGATGTAAATCAAGGTTTATATAGAATTTTCAAAGACTTAGATATGCATAGGAAAATATAATTTTTGTGCATAGGACTTTTAGAAGAATTTTATACCAATTAGGAAGAATAATCAGAACGGTTACCGAACCTGTCTGAACTGGTTCAAGAAAAGCTGAACCGATTCAAGATGGACAAAGTTATTTTTGAAGAATGCTGTTGATTCTTGAACCGGTTCCAAAAAGGCTGAACCGGTTCAAGATGGCTAGTCTTGAACTGTAAAGGCCTGACACTTGCTAAAATTTTGTTTTGGTAAGTTTGAATAAGTTGCCAAGTATGAAAAGTGTCATAACCTTCTAACTTATCTTTGGTGCGATGCCGTCGCTAGCACCAACAAAGTTGCAATAAAAGTGTGGCCAAGTTTAAATTTATAAAGAGCCACTACTACCTCCAACTACTAATATAGCTAGGGTGAGTAGGGATCGTCCCAAGTGATTGGGGGCTATGTTAATATGAAAACAAAGTCGGATTAGTAGGTCGAGTGATCAAAAAATTGTTTGTTTGGTTAATTAAACTACAGTGTAAATGAATTCAATATAAAGCAATTGAAGTAAATAAAAGGGTAGAGAACAAGAGTGAGAGGTCTTGGGATCTAGAGGTCACCACTTGTGGAGGGAAAAAAATCACACCAATCGCAAAACAACACGTGGCGACAAAAGGCTGCCCGCAAAAAGGCTAAAAGCCCATAATAAGACATAAGCCCAGCGAAGGAAGGCCTACTTACAATAGAAGCAGAATAAACAGGCCCAATTCTGACAAGGCCTAAACTCTATAACGCCTGCAATGATGTCAAATGCACGATCTGTAGGTATACATTACCCACATTTGGGAACAGCTCCATGTAAATTCCTAAGCTAAAAAACACTTATAAATAGAGCCTGAATAAAGGTAAAAGGCATGAGACTCTGAATACAATCACTATCTCAAAGATTTACTTACTCCCTTCTTAATTTTTTCTGTGTGCTTTCCATAGTCAATCCCTCTAGGTGTTCGGGTGTAAAAAATTGCACCTACACATTGGCGCTGTCTGTGGGAACTTTGATACAAAAAGTTCGTTCCCTATCCCTTGTATATAGCATCACTCCAAAATGGCAACAGAGCCAGACACTGTTCAACCGCAACAGTAGGAGACCATGTAGAATATACGCGAAGAGATGCAAGCACAACTGGACGTTCTGCAACAAGGAAACGAAGCCAGCGTTGAGCAAATCAATATGCTAAGGCAGGCTCAAGAAACCAACGTGGCACAAATCAGCACTCTACGCAGAGAAAACGAAAGACTCCGAGGCAACGCTTAACAGAATGAACAGCCGAAAGATCCCCGGCCTGAACGTTAGAACGAAGATCCCCCCATGGAGCCAGGCGATGATAATCCACCCCACCAACAGAAGGCTCCACGCGAATAGCCCAATGGAATGCTGGAGGACATCCATAATGCAGTAAGTCAGTCACACACCTCGGGGAACTCCAATATTGGGCGGCCTTGAATCACCAAAGCCCATCCATCAGATGATGCGGATTCAGGTAGAAAAGAAGTGTGGACCCCAGTAGCTTGGTCAGCGGCCTTCGAGAAGCGACTTTATCACCAGGCTCTGGAAAGAAATAGACGAACGAATCAAAGGACTGAAGGCCCAAACGCCCGAAGACATGGCGAGAGAATTTACTGCATCAATAGTTAAAACCCCTTTCACAAATGAGATAGAACGGGTCGCAAGACCCAAGAAATTCATGATGCCCAAGTTCATCAAATTCAATGGGACTGGAGATCCCCTCCAGCACCTCAACCACTATACTCTGGAAATGACACTAGAGGCTCACAATGATCTATTCATGTGCAAAATATTTCCATCCAGCCTGACAGGGGTGGCCCTAGAGTGGTTTAAGAATCACCCATGCAAATCGATCCCAAACTTTGAATCACTATGCGTCGCGTTCTTGCCTAGTATTGTGGAAATAAAAAGCAGAAGAAAACCATTGCTAGTCTCTTTACAATTTGGCAGATGAAGGAAGAAGGCCTCTTTACAATTTGGCAGATGAAGGAAGAAGGCCTACAAACTTTCCTCACCCGATTCAACATGGAGTCTTCGGGCATACTAGATTGCCATCAAGACACATCTATAGAAGTTTTCAAGATAGCCATGGTACAAGGCTCATGTTTTCATTCTTCTCAGGTGAAGAAGACCCAACTAACATGTTAGAGCTGAATTCACGGGCACAAAACTATATCAGACTTGAAAAAAATGAAGTAACTAGGCAGCAGAAAGCGACACTGGTCACAGTAGAGAATCGACCGAAGGAGCGATTGTGCACCTTGCAGGCCCATCGGGAACCCCCGATTATTGAGGGACGAGCCCCTAAAAAGAAATCCCAAATAGCCGAAAGGGTCACACTGCTCAAAGTAACACTGGCCCGACTGTACCAAGAGACCAAGGCAAGAAACATCTTCCAGATCCCACCACCAATCAGACAGCCAATGGAGCAAAGAGACTAGAATAAACACTGTGCATTCCACAGTGACTTTGGTCACTTGACTAATGATTGTAGGAGCTTGAGAAGACAGGTGGAGGTGTTAATAGCCAAGGGTGAGTTAACCGAATACTTGATTACCCCGGGGCAGCAAAGGCAGCAAGATCGAGCCCGGGCAATTCCAAAGGCTGCGGTAGAGAGCCATCTTGTCTGGGTAATTAACACAATTCATAGCTGTCTAGAAAAAGACGAGCAATCAGGAAATTCCTATAGGATCCAGCTCAAACAAGCCCATAAGCTACGAAGGATTAGTGAAATCAATACCATCGACTGTAAACCTAATCCAACACAGGTTTCTTTTCATAAAGGGGATCTCAGAAGGGTGCAACACCCGCACGAAGACCTATTAGTAGTTAGTCTACTAGTGGCCAACTGTCTGGTCAGACAAGTATTGATTGACCCCGGCAGTAGTGTTAATATCATAACAAAGTGGACGTTCGATCAGTTAAAATTGGCTGCAGACTAGATTCGTCCCACTAAAAGTCCTTTGGTAGGATTCGATGGAAGAAGAGTGGAGCCTATAGGTGTGATCACACTATCAGTGACTACTTCTAAAAGATATCTGAAAGAGAACTTCTTAAATTGTGGATATTCACCTAACCTATAATTTGCTAATGGGTCGAGGATGGATCCACCGCATAGAAGGAGTCCCATCAACCCTGTACCAAGTCATGAGATGCATAAGCCCGAATGGCTAAGAGGTCATCGATATCTGGGGAGACCAGGTAACAGCAAAGGAGTGCTATCACATGATGGTTTACCTTTCCGAAAAGGACAAAAAATTACTGAAATAGCAATTACCGAGCTCTTCCCCTCCAAAAGAGAAGGAGGAACCGGAAGAAGAGCATCTTACTATAGAACCCCTAGAAGCTATGCAGAAAGTCATAGGGGACGAGCACAAGCTGACCTACATAGGGACTCTCCAGTCAGTTCAGGAGAAGGAGGAACTGGTAGAAATCTTAAGGAAGAACGCAGACATCTTCGGTTGGAATCACTGGGACATGCCGGGAATTGACCCACAGATGGCCTGTCACAGCCTGAATATGGACCCCAGCCACCATCCAGTGAAACAAAAGCAAAGAAGGTTTGCCCCCGAAAGGAACAAAATCATTGCTGAAGATGTCAATCGACTTTTAGAAGCAGGGTTCATCAGAGAAGTCTGATATCCTCAATGGTTATCAAACGTGGTGGTTGTCCAGAAAAAGAATGGTAAATGGCGAGTATGCATTAACTTCACCAACCTGAACAAAGCATGCCCAAAAGATAGCTTCCCACTCCCCAAGATCGATCAGATGGTAGATGCTACGACCGGATATGAAAAACTGACTTTCCTTAATGCTTACTCGGGCTACAACCAAATCCCGATGAACCCTTCGGATGAAGAAAAGACTTCTTTCATCACCGAACGGGGGACCTATTGCTACAAGGTAATGGCCTTCGGGCTAAAAAATGCAGGAGTAACTTATCAAAGGCTGATCAACAAAATGTTCAAAGAGCAGATCGGCCGAACGGTCAAAGCTTACATAGATGATATAGTGGTGAAAGCAAAGTTAAGAAAGATCATCGGCAACACCTGCAGGATGTGTTTGATACTCTTAGGAAACATAGAATGATGTTAAACCTAGCAAAATGTTCTTTCGGAGTGTCCTCGGGACAGTTCCTCGGTCACCTGGTGAGCAAAAGGGGAATAGAGGCAAGTCCCACTCAGTTGGCAAAATTGCTACAGAGTTAAGAGCCCCGAACCGTGAGAGAAGTCCAAATCCTCATTGAGAGAGTAGCGGCTCTTAGCCACTTTATATCCAGACTATCAGAAAAGTGCAAACTGTTCTTCGATGCAATCAGAGCCAAAAAAGGAGATATCTGGAGGGCAGAGCAGAGAGAAGCTCTCGTGAAACTCAAGGAATACATGATAAGTCCCCCAATTCTATCTACTCCAAAACCTGAAGATCTGTTGTACCTCTACTTAGCAGTATCTCAGTCAGCAACCAGCTCAGCCTTAGTAAGAGAAGTGGGAAATAAGCAACACCCGGTCTTTTATTCCAGCAAGGCCATGACCGACGCAGAAAGCCGGTACTCAATGGCAGAAAAATTATCCTTGCTTTAATTCAAGCTCAAAAGGAAACTTCGACACAATTTTAAGGTGCATCGGATAGTAGTTCCCATGATTCTTCCGGTCAAAGCAATTCTTAGTAAACCAGACATCTCAGGTCGGATCACCAAATGTGCAATTGAATTAAGCTCCTTTGACATCCGGTACGAATCGCGCACTGCCAAAAAGGGGCAAGTGGTTACAGATTTTCTCTTAGACATTGACCTAGGGGAAGAACAGCAAACCACGAAAGAGCTTTGTTGGGAATTATACGTCGATGGTTCTTCGAGTCAAAACGGAGCCGGAGCAGGAGTAGAGATAAGAACCCTTGAGGGGACCAAAATCCAACAGTCAGTCCGACTAAAGTTGTCGATCACAAACAATGAAGCTGAATATGAGGCATTGTTGGCAGGGCTCAGATTGGCCAAGGAACTCCAAGTAAAGCACCTTAAAGCTTATAGTGATTCGTAGCTCATCACAAGGTAAGTGACTAGAGAGTACACCACCAGAGAGGGTAGAATGAATGCATACCGACAAGAAGTTGAAAAAATGACAAAGTACTTTGATACAATCGAATTTCAGCAGATCCCTAGGGAAGAAAACCCGATAGCTGATTGTTTGGCGAATGCAGCATCCCTAGCGGACGAGTCATTCACCAGAGTCGTCCCCATTGATGTCCTAGAAACACCGAGCATCACAAGGGGAGTGCAGGTGTTGGTCATCCCATGGGAACTAAGCTGGATAGATCCAATATTGGCCTACCTTGAGAGAGGAGAACTCCCCAATTCTAAGGAAGCGGCTCGACAGCTAAGGATAAAAGCTGCCAAATATTCTGTGGTAGGAGGACAGCTCTTCAGAAGATCGCATTCCGGACCCTACCTCAAATGTCTGACCCCAACGGAGTCCCGAGAAGTTCTAAAACAGATACATGAAAGGGAGTGCGGGAATCATTCTCAGGGCAGGTCGTTGGCTCATAAAGCTATCACTCAAGGTTATTTCTGGCCCTACAAGGTAAGGGAAGTAGAAAAATACTCTCGTAGATGCGACAAGTGCTAAAGGTATGCCCCCCTCGTCCATTTACCCCCGGAAGAAATACACACCATGAGCAACCCATGGCCATTTGCGCAATGGGGAATGGACGTGGTAGGGCCCCTACCAATGGCGGCATCACAGAAAAGGTACGCCTTGTTAGCCACTGATTATTTCACTAAATGGGTAGAAGCAGAGGCATATGCGAGTGTGACTAATGTCCAAGTGAAAAAATTTATTTGGAACAGCCTGATATGCAGATTCAGAATCCCAAAATCCATCATCATGGACAACGGGCCGAATCTAGATAATCAATACACTCAACGTTTCTTTGATAAGTATGGTATCAACCAGAAAGTGTCAGCTGCATAGCACCCCCAAGGCATTGGGCAAGCGGAGATAACCAACAGAACGATCTTTGCCTGTATCAAAAAGAAGCTTGAAGATAAAAAAAAGGGAAGTGGTTAGAAGAATTACCAAATGTCCTATGGGCATACAGAACCACCCCGAGATGTCCCACTGGTGAAACCCCTTTCTTTCTCGCTTACGGCACCGAGGCCGTAATCCCTACCGAAGTAGTGGCACCCACCATCCGAAGCTTAGCTTGGAACTAGGAGTCAAATAATCAGCTTCTGGAACATAGTCTGGATCTATTGGAAGAAAAAAGGGAAGCCGCAGCCATCCGGCTAGCAGCCTACCAGCAGAAGATAGCAAATAGTTATAACAAAAGGGTCAGAAGGAGAAGCTTCAATCTGGGATCTGGTGCTCCTGAAATCAGAAAAGTACGTTAGCAAGTTGGAACCTAACTGGGAAGGGCCATACCGAATATCAGATGTGATTGGAAAAGGAGCTTACAGACTTCAACACTTGGATGGCACCGAAATGACCAAGCCGAGGAATACAATGAACCTGAAAAGGTACTTCCAATAAAGTAAATCATACAGTGTTTTCCAGTACTCTACTTTTTGAATAAAATAAAGCTGCTGACAGCCTCTTTTCAAATGTCTCACATTGGATAAAAACAAAACTTCTGACTTTTATTTAAAGTGGAATAACACGAGATTTAAATAGTGGAGTGGACCCCCTGATGGTAAGCAACCCATAACGGGGCCCACCATCAGGGGTCTCCACTTCACACTTTTTATCTTTTATCTTACCACAAAAAAGGTCTTATCACCTACGAGAAACGATGTCCCACATCGCTCAAAAAGTGAAATCTAACCCTTTTCTTATAAGGATCCACACTTACGTGCCTATCAGTGTGTGGGACCCATTGACAATGGGACCCCACTTGCGACACTAAAGTGCCCCATTGTCAGAGGTCTCCATACACTCTCCCCACATATTTTCCCCTTTTTTAGAAAGTATGGTCCCACATCGACAAAAGAGAAAAGAATCCGTTATTATTATAATATAACCTGCCGGGTATACAATCAGCGGGTGAGGACCCTAAATTACGAGGCCTATGGATAGTCTCAGCTCATTATCAGAGGGGGTCCATAATGTAGGGTCTTCCCCGCTTTCTTTTGGGATAGGTCACTTCTTTTCAAATCCCTATCTCACTTTAAACAGAAAATGGGTTTTCTATAAGGCAGAAATCGTTTAAATTATAAATGTCAGCAAGGGAACGCCCACGCAAAGAATGCCTAATAAAAGGGGTTCAGCACGAGGACTTCCTACTCAAGACGGACTTACGAATGGGCTTGACTAGATAAATCACCCAAGTCCTAAAAAAGCCGAATGGCCCTAAGAGCTGATCGCAAAATAGGCGAAGGCCCTAAGAGCCTAACGCCTGAACGGGCTTGACCGGATAAACCGCTCAAGTCCAAAAAAGCCGAACGGCCCCAAAAGCCGATCGCAAAATATGCAAAGGCCCCAAGAGCCTAATGCCTGAAAGGGCTTAACCGGATAAACCACTCAAGTCCAAAAACGCAGGACGGCCCCAAGAGCAAATCGCAAAATAGGTAAAAGCCCCAAAAGCCTAACGTCCGAACGGGCTTAACCGGATAAACTACTCAAGTCAAAAAAAGTCGAACAGCCCCAAGAGCCGATCCTAAAATAGGCGAAGGCCCCAAGAGCCTAACGCCCGAAAGGGTTTGACCGGATAAACCACTCAAGTTCAAAAAAGCCGGATGGCCCCAAGAGCCGATCGCAAAATAGGCGAAGGCCTCAAAAGCCTAACGCCCGAACGGGCTTGACCAGATAAACCGCTCAACTTCAAAAAACCCGAACGGACCCAATAGCCGATCGCAAGATAGGCGAAGGCCTCAAGAGCCTAACGCCCGAATGGGCATGACCGGATAAACCGCTCAGGTTTAAAAAAGCTGAACGAACCCAAGAGCCAATTG